ACTATAACTTACGGTACTTCCAACGCGCCATATCTAGCAACACGCACACTTAATCAATTAGCAGAAGACGAGAAAAAATAATTTTTCGTTAGCAGCGCCAATAGTACAAAGGGATTTTTATGTCGATGACGTACTCACAGGAGCCCATACTCTAATAGAGGCTAAAGAATTTACAGTCGCAATTGATTAACCTATTATCACGTGGAGGAATGCGTCTGCACAGATGGTGTGCTAATCATCCTGATCTTTTGCAGTTTCCGGATGGACAAGAGGAATATTCTTTCAGTAATTTCGATGACGAATCAGAGCATCAAAACTTTAGGATTATTATTATGGAATCCAAAGATAGATTGTTTTTTCGTACAAATCAACCATCAAGAAACCAACTACTTACACAAAGAGAACAGTGTTGTCTGACATTGCTTGCATTTATGATCCATTAGGACTGCTTGGTCCAGGGATAACAAAAGCAAAAATCTTCATCCAAAGACATTTGGTTATTGAAGCTTGATTGGAACGATCCGCTACCCGAGAAGGATAATTAAGGATTGGCAACTTTTTATTGATTCAATGCAAATCTATCAACAATTTGAAAGTGAGTAGATATGTTTTACAGGGCATAGTTTTTCTGATATACAAATTCATGGATTTTCAGATGCATCAGAACACGCATACGGAGTAGCCATCTATTTACGCTGTAAGAAGTGACAATAATTTATCTTCACATTTGCTTTGCAGCAAGTCCAGAGTAGCTCCACTAAAACCGCTGACAGTACCTCGACTGGAACTCTGCGCAGCTGTACTGCTAGCACAGCTTGTTGCAAAGGTGGTGCCTTTATTGAAATTGGACATCAGTAAAAATATGTCTGTGGTGTGACTCAACCATAGTGTTAGCATGGCTTCCAGAATCCCCCGCATGTACTAAAAACCTTTGTTGCTAATCGAGTGTTGCAGATCCAAGAGCTAACACAGACATGCCAGTGGAATTATGTGCGTTCAGAGGAGAACCCGGCAGACCTTATTTCCCGAGGACTGAATTTTGGACAAGCTGGCATGATGCTGATCTGTGGTGGAAAGGTCCTCCATTCTTCAGTGGAAGGTGTCATACCTAACAAGAACATTGAACAATTTGGGAAAAAAAAAAAAAAAAGAGAGAGAGACATTTTCTAATGAACTGAGAAAAAGAACTGACATTGCTTGTTTATGCACTTTGCCTTCAAAATTTATTGATAATGTCCTAGAATATCACTAACAATTATTCAAAATTATTGCGTATTGTTAGTTATATTTTCAGGTTCATTTGGAACTCTAGGTGTGCAAAAACAGAAAGGAGCACAGAGAAGAACAGGAGGGGTAAAGTTCAAAGGAGTTAAATGAGGCAGAATTCCTTTTTAGTAAGAGAGGTTCAAAAATGTAGTTTTTATTCAGAATACAACTCCCTCGCACAAGGTAAACCCATTAATAATAAAAGTAATTTACTTTCTTTGAACCCTTTTTTGGATGCAAATAATGTAATGAGAGTAGGGAGGCCGATTACAAGGGGCCAATGTAATGTTTTCACAAAAACATCAAATATAATTTTGCCTGTTAAATGCAAACTAACTAAGCTGATTGCTGAGCATTATCATCGGAAATATTTACACGTAGATTCGCAAGCATTATTGTGTTTCATGAACAGAAATTTTGGCCATTACAAGGTAGGAATTTAACTAGAAAGATTACCCATGAATGTATAATTTGTAGTAAAAAATAAACCAGTCACTATCGAACAAATTATGGGGTCATTACCTGCAGAGCGCGTTAAATCCCAAGCTCACCCTTTAATCATGTCGGCACCGATTTTTGCGGTCCATTTTTTATTAGGTACAAGGGACAGAGGAAAGGAACTCTTCATAAGGTATATTTAGCTCTTTTCATTTGCCTTATAACAAAGGCAGTGCATCTCGACCTAGTGAGTGATCTCACCACTGACGCATTTATTGCCACCTTAAAGAGATTTATTGCTAGGCGCGGAAAATGCTCAATCATTTTCTCAGACAACGCAAAAAACTTCGTTGGCGCAAATGCCGAATTGCAAAGAATTAACAATTTAATTAGAAATTCTGACAAAAAATTAGCAGATTATTTAGGTGAAGAAGGAATAGTATGGAAGTTTATTCCCCCACGGGCACCTAATTTTGGTGGACTATGGGAATCTGGAATAAAATCCGTGAAATATCACTTAAAGCGGATTGTAGGTAATGCAAGGTTGACTTTCGAGGAGTTATTAACTGTAGTAACTCAGATAGAGTCTGTTTTTTTTAAATTCTCGCCCTATTACTCCCTTACCTTCCGATGTAAATGATTTAGAGGCATTAACACCAGGTCATTTTCTCATTGGAAGACCCTTTGAATGCTATATAGTAGAACCCGAATTAATTGATATACCTGAAAACAGACTCTCAAGACGGAAACGAACTACCAGATTTGTCCAGTTGATATGGAATCGTTGGTATAGGGGGACTATTTAAACACACTACAACAGCGTTCAAAATGGAAGGTAGAACAAAACGAATATTAAAATAGGTATGCTAGTACTAGTTAAGGAGGATGAGCTTCCTTGTAGATGGGTGTTGTTAGGGCGCATTACAAGAATTTTTCCTGGAGTTGACGGTAGGTTAGAGTAGTAGAAATACAGACAGCAAAGGGCATCATTAAGCGTGGAATTACAAAAATTGCAATTTTACCCCAAGAAGAAGCTTCTTAAGTTAGTTAAGTGTTAGCTTATTATTATAAAACTTGTATTGTACATTGTATTGTGTATAAAAATTTTTCTTGAAAATTGAATATTATTATATTGAATTAAGAGATGTTATTCGTATTGCATTATTGTATAAGGTAGTAATTGTACAATTTTGTAGGTTATTATGAGTATTATCGCACGAAATTATTGAAGTAACCCTTCAATGCCGGGGGGGGTATGTTAAGTCATTAAGACTTTTTAACTGTAAGATTACGTCATTTTTTTCTGTTCTTGGCGCCTTGCATGGCGCAGATGTTCATTACAGCAACCCTGTAAACGCTTACTCAGTTTGTTTTCATTGCTGTTGTTGTTAATAGTAAGTCATCGCTTGAAAGATGGCACGCATTTGATTAAAGTTGTTGAATAAAATATTTAGTACAGTCCACTTCTAGTTAATTTGAAATTGTTGTATAACAACGCACGCATCGCATGAACACATGGCTTGCGTAACGCTTATGACGTAGCTAACGCGGAACCTGAACTTAAAATTTCGAGAACTAAAGCCTTTCTAATCTAAACTAAAACCTCTTCTTAGTGAGCCTCTGCATTGGTTTTTCAGCTTCAACTCTCTCGCTGTGAAGACGCTACTTCTCTCCCTTTCCTTTGTTGTGCTTCTACCTAAGCTGTTATCTAAAATGGGATAATCTGTAGAAAATTTGGGGTGCGTATTGCGCCCACGATCTTGTGTGGCAAAAATATATTTTGTATAATTAGTTCGTGTTCACCAATAAAAGTTATATTCAATTTGGCTGGGTCTGTCTACAAGTCTTTCCTTCGAGTATCATCTTTCTAACTATGCAGTAAAGTCTCCCCAGAATATAACGCAGAGAACCATTGTCAGTCTGTTGCAGCTTACTCCAAGTCACTCTGTTACATATATAGACTTTTGGTGCTGCCGATAGCAATAAAAAAGGGAGGGGCACAATTAGATGTTATAGCAGTCCACATATAAAATTACCACTTTCTACGTCTAATCGTTCTTGAGTTATGCGGGATATATACTTACATACGTCACAGAAAAATTGCTTTTACAATCCGTTTTGGTAATAACAGTTCTTTATTCTGTTTGTACGCACAGATGTCATGCAAAAAAGTACTCAAAATGAATATAATATATATAATACTCGATTATATAGAATATTGAAATTTTTCGTGATTATAGTACGTTCTTTACTTCATACAAGGAAGTAAAAGGATGATGCCAAATAACATCATTTTATTCTTATCCAAAATGTGCACTTTTTTGATGCTATTTATTACAACCTCTGACGAAGAATTTTTTCGATTTACTACATTCGATATTTAGAATATTAATTTATTCGATATTTAGATACTTTAATTTAATTAATTTTTATTAAGTAATTATACTATTAGCACACGTACTTGAATTACGTTCCTAACCCCTGACATTGCATGCTTCCACCAGAGAATGATCGTTTCCTCGCCTAACAATGAGTTTGAAACATTTTTTTAAAGCTACAAAAGAAAGAAGACAAATTTGTGTTTGAATATGATGTTAAAAGAGTTTATAAAGTTTATATCCATTTTTTGAGTCAAGTTAGGTTCTTCCAAGGCATTCATCGTTCACGCAACCAAGCTTATTACTGGTGTTCACATTCCACGTGCTATAATACCTTTAATGTATTAGAGAAGCATTTGACAAATTGCTAGTCCTTCTTATTATTTAAAGTGGTATAAAATCTTTCATTTATCTTTAAAATTAAAACTCTATGCAGTGCAAGAAATTGAGTGATTTGAAGGGAAATATATACTACTGAATAATTTGCATCTCAGTTTCATTTTTAATAATATACCTAATTGTATAATAACTCTAATGGATATAATTTATACTACATCTGATAGTATAATTTATAACACACCCAATTAATAAATCTGTAATAAAGTAAGAAATTTTTAACGTCACTTGCAGCTAAATACAAAATAATCGCGTTACTGTCTTATGCAGGTTCATAAAAAATAATCATTTTCGTTGCTAACTTATTTTATTTTTATTTTTAATAAGAAGACACCACATCTTCTTACAAAGAGGAAAAATAGTTTAATTAATAATGATAGTTAAATATTTGCCAGTTGTAGGATAGCTTTTAAAGAATCTACTTTTTAACTCAGTGCGGAAGCTGAAGAATAAACTTTCGATGCCTTTCCCGTAAAACGTTACTTTTTACCAGTTTCTTAAAATCATTTTTTAATTTTATAGATACTGTGGTGTTCAGGTTGGTAAAACCATCTTATCGGACAGCTCTAGCATTCAAATTCGATTCTTCTCAGATGATGCAATTGAATCTAGAGGCTACAGCATTTTATTGGAGATGTATAATACTGGATGTTCCAAACGGATCAAACTTGGAGGAAGCATTCTGTCTGGCAGCTTCTATTCCCCAAATCATCCGGCCCGGTACTATGCAGATGATCTTTGTGTCTGGAAAATTGAGGTACGTCATTTTCATTAAAAAATGAACTAATATTCAGTGAACATCAAATATAGTAGGCGGACATTACTCAATGGATTTCAAATTAGATTACATTCAAAATTTATGCACTAGACCTTTCGGCATTAAACTAAACTATGAGAACCGTTTTCTAATCTAAATCCCAATCAATCTACTAAAACTTCACTATAATGTTCAGAAAAGCTACATAAACCAGAAACTACTTTGAAATAATGTTAAAAAGCTATCTTAGATTAAAAGAAGTTTCAAGTTTGAACTCAAAGCCAGATTTTTTTGTCATGGTAATCAAAGAAAGAATTAATATTTTGAAGTAGAATCGCAGAGTCAACTTTTCAATGATTTATTTTACAAAGCCAAATGAAGTAACAACATAAACTCCAGAGAACTGCTAACTAATATAATTAAATGAAAAAAAATAAAAAGTTAATCTTCTCTGCAAATTAATTTTTTTCCCTAGGTGTTCTTTTAAACTTTTTATTCCACTAATCGCTGGAATGAATTTAAATTAGTTCATTGGCATACCAAGCATCGCCTTCGTTTACTTTTTAATAAAATATCAGTGCAAGCAATGATAATCATAGACCCTAAACGTAATGCAAATCCATATAAAGCGGCAGAAGAATTGAGGTACTGAAAAGAAAGAATCTCTTAAATTATTTGCATAGTAAACTGTAATTGTTGATCAAACTGAAATAATTTTAAGCCATTCAAAATCTTGCCAGACTTTCAGAGATTTTTTTCAAAGATTCATGATTTTTTTACATATGCTATTGAAAATTTTCCAAAACTATAATCCCACGGTCTTTTAAACTCAGTTGAACTGTTTTATAGTAGTTTGTTATAAACCTTGATTATCACAAATTAGTTTGGAAATTTATTTATTTGTTTCAAACAGTGAATGGTGCAGCATTTGAAATTGTTTGGCAGCATGTGCATGTTCCACCTAAAGGCAATCAGGTATAAGTTCGTACTGTCTAAGAATTACATAGGCAGAAAAAAATCCTTAGTCTTTTAATTTAACCTAAATAATGTCTGGCTTATTATTCTGAAATAAAAAGTGTCAGCATGGAAATACAATGTCAGAATGGAATATGATTTCTTTTGGAAACTGTAGTGTCAACAAACTGCTCACTAAAGCTCCTTCCTAATTGCAGGCGTTTAGGACGAGATCCAAGAAATTTTTGTATTATAGTTATTAAAAAAGCATTAAAAACTGAATGAGATGGGGTAGAATTATTTTGGGAGCTTATTTAATACCCCAAATGATATTATTCTTCCCTGTAATAAAAAATTACGGCATTTTTTTTTATTAAAATGCAATAATTTGGTATAAATATCTGAATGAGATCTATAAACTATAAACATAAGAATTTCCTCATTTCTTCCGATACACCTTGGTAAGTTTGAAAAATTGGAAAGTTATTATACATTAATTGCGACTCGTTCGTTTTTAAAGCAAATAATCTAATCTCTAAGCTGATTCAGCATGTTGAAGTTTAAATCTCCTTTTATCGATTCGGTTATCGTGTGAATAATTTTAGTATCGCAATGATAGTGTCACGCGTAAAAAATTCCAGGTGTTTCCTGATTACTTTCATTTTATTCGTATTATTTAGAGATTATAAGTATGTGCATAAACAGAGGTAGATCCTTTGTTGTGCATTACTTACCACTATGCAGTCATCTCTAAAGATGTGTACTGTACACAAATCTTCAATAAAAGAATGAATCAAAGCTTATTTTGTGCTTAGAAGGGTTAATAGACGAAGATAAATAAAAAAACAGACTGTCTAGACTAGACGTTTCCAACTGAGAAGGTTTTCATAGTTTCAGGGGAATGCGATCAACCTTTTATTTAACTTTCAAGTAGTTAGTTTTAATGTATGAATATAAAAAAAAAACTACTTTTATTCAAGTTTGATATTTATTCAAGTTTTGGAAAGGACGAGGGAATGAACTGTGGTGAAAAGGGTGCAAGGGCTATAAAAGTTTAAGAACTCCTGGTCTAGACTCTTACTGCTTCATGTGAATTATCAGATAACAGCGTACCAGAATGACACAACGGTTCTTTTCCTAAGCAAGCAAAGTTTATGACAATTTTTGTTCTTGTTAAAAAGGGTGATCTGTCTTCGAATAATACCCCTCCCCCCAAAAAAAACATGGGTACGCAACGCTATAAAACTAACTATGTATTATATCTCATTATTTATAAGAAGTGTTTTTAATCGTATCAAAATTAAGACTTTTAAACCTTGAAAATGAAATTTGTTACTGCTTTTCATTATACAAATGAAAACACTTTATAAATAAAAGATATAAGAACGTGGTAATATTGCAGAAACAGCAGCATATTGCAGAAGATTGCAGAAGCAATAACAATCAAGAATGGTAAACTGTCTAACAAGAAATAGCAATTAAAAAACAATAACAAGAAATAGCAATTAAAAACAATGAAGCAGAAATTTAGAAAAAAAAACTGATATAAAAGTAAATTAATGTAAAAATAAACAATAATCGTTAAATATAAGTAATAATTAAATAATAAATAATAGTTGATAATTCCTTGGTTTTGTCAAGAAACAGCTGAAAGAATTATCAACAAACCCATGTTCTAAGTTAAACTATTAGTAATTGAATGAGACTAAATTTAAACAAATTTCAATTTTTTTCAAAAAAAAAAAAAAAAAAAAAAAAAAAAAAAAAAAAAAAAAAATGAAAGAAAATAGCCAATAAGCAAAACTAAAATAGAGCAAAAAATTACGGTTCCAAGTACCTGCAGAAAACCCAAACCAAAGTAAATGTCGAAAACCAAAGTAAATGATCAAATTAAAATGCAAGCTGCAAAACTGAAGTCTCAAAATAAAATTTTAGAATGAACGGAAATAACCGAAAAGCTGAAAGGAAAATTTCCTTAACAAAATGCCCTAGAATTTTAGAAAAGGGATAATAAAAATACAATTTTCAAAACCAGACAAAAATTAAAATAGAGAATCAAAATAGTTGTATTAAACAGAGCAAGAAACAGTGAAATTGAGATAAGTGTGTTTATCTAAGTTTCCAAACAGGGATATTAACAAGAACCCTGTAGAATCATTAGGTATTTTTTGGAGGAAGGCAAGATGAAAAATTAGCAACCGCCTTCGCTGGGAATCGAACCACGGACTTCTGGAATACCGACTCAGCGTGCAAAACCACTACACCACGAAGGCACGCTAGGAAAGAGGGAGAAATACCTTATATACTGCCCTTTTTAAAGGGCGACTGGGATTTTAGGGGACCCAATCCTCAATTCCTGGATGTGAAAAATCCTCATCCAACACCCTTTTAGTTCCCTTTAGAGATGAAATCCAACACCCTTTAGAGATGAAAAATGAGCAACGCGTTCGCCGGGAATCGAACCACGGACCTCTCGAATACGCGCCCAGCATGCAGACCACCGCACCACGAAGGCGGAAGAAATACCTTATATACTACCCTTTTCAAAGGGCGACTGGGGTTTTTAGGGGACCAATCGCCAAATCCTGGTAAGAAGAATCATCATCCATCACCCTTTTAGTTAGGGCGCCACTGTAGAGACATTAGGTATTTTTTTGGAAGCAGGAAAGATGAAAAATTAACAACGCCTTTTCCGGGAATCGAACCACGGGCCTCTGGAATACGCACCCAGCGTGCAGACCACCCCACCACGAAGGCATGCCAAGAAGGCTGGAGAAATACCTTATAGCCTGTATCCATCATTTACAAGTGTAAATAAAAATATTAAGTGAGAAAACATATTATGAGTGGTTGTATTGTTGGAAAGACGCAAGTTGAGAGGTGTTAGTGTTGCTTTAGTAAAAATGAAAAATATGAATACTTAGGAAAGGAAAATTTCTTAAATTTGAATTTTAAATTAAAGCAGATTAAAAGGAAAATGTGATATATGTATATAAATACTATATATCGAGATGAAAGAAACGTTCTGTTGAAATAAGCTGCTGTTAGTTTCATGGTTTGAAAAAATAAAGAACTTGTTATTACCATTATTCCTATACTACTCGAAAGCGAGGCCGTGTTGAGAAACGGTGGCCGTATTACGTAGTTTAAAATATGCCAGAAAGCGGGGATATACCTTGTGTAAATAAATTTATAATGCACAGTTTCTACTGTTAAAGAAGGAAGAATTTGCTTGTACGTATGTTTTTATGTTCCTCTCATTATGGAAAAACATCGGCATCCTAAATCCAGCCTAAACATCAGCACCTAAATTTTTAATATACCTTATTCTCCACTCAAACATATACACTTCGAAACCAAAATTTTGAATTTCAAATTTATTTATTTCGTATTTTGTGTGACTTTAATGAAATTTGGATTAAAATCCCAGCGATTTAAAACCTTTGTGTTGACAATCTGCAAATCGTTTTTCAGTAGAAAGGTGCACCACCAGGATACCCGAGCGCAATGCACTAACCATATCGAATATTTCTGATTTGCAAAATAAATTCTGTTAATAACTTGCAAAATTATCAGAAAGTCCTACACTTTGTAAGTAATTAGGTTCAGGTTCAGGCTGTAGTGCAGTGGACACCCATTTTTTAACCCCTGGTAATGTGGGTTACCCACATTACCAGGGGCGATTGTCCAACTGCACTATCTTTTGAGGCGATTATTAACATGTTAAAGTTTTGAGGTTGTTGGAGAGTTCAAGCAAAAGATTAATAATTTTTGCTCAGTCTCATACACAGAAAATGACCTCAAATGCTTCCGGAATAAATATGCTGATTGTGCATTTTGACATTCAAAATAAATAATAAATATTCCTGAGAACTGTAAGAGTCACCCTTCCGCAGAAACCGAAGCGCTATCTGCGTTTTAATTTTGCTGGCAGAGCATCTCGAAAGAAAGTTTTTTTTTTTTTTCTTTCTTTCTAAATTAATGGAGTGACTCATTTCCAATAAGTTTCAGTGATGAAGTTTTTGTAACTTTGGATATCCTCGCCC